TGTGCCTTGATGAATTATCAGATCTACAATAGGGAATCCTAAACAACAAAATTACCAGCTTCAATATGATAATATCTTGTTTTTGTTGGAAACAAAGAGCATTTTATCCTTCTTTTCACTTCTATTAACTGAATAAAATTCCTATCAGGAATAGAGAAGCTTCAGTTTATGTGCCAAAAATGTTGGTTTTGCATCAATGAATCCAATTTTAGGGTAAATCTGTCAGCTCCGGTCTCTTATGTGACCAGGAGTTGATAGGGTTTTTGGGTCACACTATAGCCAAAGAGTGGCCAGTGGAAATAAAGTCCAACTCAACACTTGTACTGTGGAGGGACTGGCTTCTTATAAAAATAAGGGTCAACTGTGGAATGAGCTTCACAATGCCTGAGCTTAATTATTATAAGAGAAATTGAGTTGTACTAGTCTTATAAGTTAAATAAGTAACTTATAAAGACTATTAAAGAGGATAGAGAAAGTGTACTGATGTAATGTAATAATAGGCTACTGTAAAAACCCCACTCACTATTTATTATAAGGTAATATCTAGTAAGGTGATTGGGTTTGTATGGTAAATGTCTGGGGGATGAATCTCAGGGGAAGAGCCATCCTCTTAAATATTACAGAGCAGGGGTCAAACTGCTGCTGGGACCAGTGCAGTCCCCTTATTGGTGCACTATTCCTTGGGGGAAAGTGTCAGGATATTCAGAGCATGTTAAATGTACATACATGTGATGAATATTTTTTATTTCAGAAAATACACATAAGAGAGATAAACAGAATATATATTCACACAAGAGAGATAAACAGGATAATTATCTCTTGGATACACCCAAGAGATAATTATCCTTTTCAACTTGAGTATGTATAATTTTCATGGAAGAGGTAAATTAATAAAGAGGTGAATCTTTATTAATTTACAGAATAATTATTAACATAAATAATACATGTAAAAAAGAATAACACTACTTTATAATTATTAACTTAAAGATTACATATAATAATAATTTTACATTCTATTGTAGACACCTGGGCTAGTGTCTCAGTGTCTGACAAAATCTTAGTCTTTCGTAATTAGAAATCAAGGTTCAAAAAAGGTTGGTGATTTGAAAGAAGTTTCATCATTCTATTTGGAGACTCAATGCAACGGTGGGCCAGTTACGATAACCGTAGTGTTAGTGTAGTGTTAGTGTAGCGTAATGTAGCACAATTCCGCTAAACTTTAGCGTAGTGTAGCGGAATTCCGCCACATCTGCGCTAACACTACGCGTAAAGGGCGCAACAGTGCGCTAACAGTTAGCGTAGCGTTAGCGCAAAAATTCAGAATTGCACTAACGCTACACGGACAGGGCGCAAAAAAGTACCCACTACGCTGTGTTACAGCACTTTTTAGCCTTTTTTTGCCGCTAAAAGCGCTGTAGCGTAACACAGCGTAGTGGTGGTAGTGGCGTGCTAACACTACAGAAAAAAAATGTGTTAGTGCCTCTACAAAGTAGCGTAGTGGGGCGCTAACACTACACAAAAAAGGGCCACATTTTGCGCCGCTACGCTAACGCTAAATGGCCCTGTAGCGTAGTGTAGTGTAAAGGCCCACCGCTGCTCAATGTCAAAAAGATGCTGATAAATTTTTCTTCAATTTTTATTTGGTGAATGTCATAAGCATGTTTTCTGAGAAAGATTTCAAGCTTTGCTTAGCATACATATCAGGTGGCTTTGATAGGAACTGATCTGATGTGACTAGAATGAATTCATCTCTAATTGAAGCAGATTCAGCTGAGAAATTTGGCAGCATTCAGGAATTGTAGTGGTTTCCAGGCAGTTGACCAAGGCACAAATGGAGATGAGAGATCTTTCTCCAAGCTCTATCATTCAATAACCATATCACACTGGGAGACTGGGACAGATACACTGATGGAGGCAATAATTATGCAGAACAGTGTAGTGAAATTATCCTAAAATTTAGTATAGTGCAGCAGAATTCTGCCCCATCTGTGCTAACACTACATACTACACTGCTCTAATTTACTGGTTGGTGGATGTTTGGCCCTGAAGCATGCCATAGAAGAAAGCCGCTAACAGGGTCATTAACACTACACAATTTGCAAGCAAAAAAACATAGCATAGCAACCCAGTGCTTCTGACATCAAAAGGTAGATAAATTTCATCAAAATTGTCGCGCACAAACAACAATGGAGAGACCATACATTTGGCCAAAATATCCAGTGCATGGAGTTCTTGAGTAAATGGGGTTCCTTCATGACTCATTCTCAAATCAGCATTCATATGTAAACACACAAAATCTAAAATTCAGGGGTAGTTTTCCCAGGTGTAGTGGAAGGTGATTGGCCTATTTTATTTACAGTTCAACACTTTCTTCAAAGAATTCCAAGCATCACATTGATTTATTGCAGAAATTTACAAGCTTTGAAACCATTATATCACCCAAATTAAACAAAAGTGAATTTGAATTTTGAGAATCACTTCCTACTGTTCACTTGATTTTTTTATTCAGCTCTTGAGTATTCAATATTCCAATCATTTTCTTTTTAGAATTTCCAACATTGTGTGACCAAAAATTTTCTCTGAATGATGGGTAGTTTTTTTGTTCGATTCAAAATTCAATTCAATGATCATTTCTCATAGTTAACCAAACCAATATTCACATTGAGGCTTCTAAACTTTCCTCAGAACTTGACAAATCATGTGTCAAAGAGTGAAGAAGAAAAGAAATTCATTGGGTCAAGAATAAGTAAACAGGAATCAGAAACAAAGTCCATATATCAAAATGAAAGGCATACAACTTAATGAATATCATGGTTTCATTTTATTCAGAAATAGTCTTATCTGTCTTAAAATTCATCTCACTTTCACTCTTGAATCTTTACTTGTAACTGTGTCGGAATGTTGATTCTTTCATGAGTTGATGTGCGCTTTAACAAGAAAATTGAAAAAAAAACTTAAGTTTTGGATTAACAACTGGTAAGTTGCAAGCAATCAGGTATGTGAGTAGATTTTGTCAACATTCAACAGTGGATTATGAATTATATTGAAAGTATCCACTGTCTCCCCTTCCAGATGATTTTCTTCAGGTATATTTAAAAATACTATGAGGAACTTTCTAATTTTCACATTTTCCTCAAGGAAATTCCCCATCTTCAACTCTGGGGCCCTTATTGGTTTTTCTCCCATTGAAATTCTTGCTCTTCTCTTCAATTCTGGGGAACTTACCAGCTATGGATGAAGATGCTTATGCATGATCAGATAAGATGCATCATTGATGAAATTTTTTTGTGATCAAAATCATGCTTGAGATATATTCTAGCTAGTTTTGGATAAAAGAAAAAACACTCAATTGGATCAGGATGGGTGAGAAATTACATTTTCTGAGTCTTTTTGTGGTTGTGTGGGGTGTGGATTTGGCTCATGTGGGTTGAATTTGGTCTGTGTGATTGGCCTAGAGCTTGGGTAGGCTCATTAAGGCCTTGACATCCTATGTTCCATGATTTGATCCCTACAGAGCCCACCTGATCAAGCCTGCTGGGCCCTCATAGCCCCAAGCAAGAAGTGAGCCTGTGCCCAAATCTAGATTAACTAATCCCCTCAACAGAGGGCCAGAGGCACATTGAAAAGCAAGCCTTTGAAATAAGGGCTTATGCAATTTCACACTCAACCACTCATTACTCCCACCTAATTAAAGATGACAATCGGTACCCGGCACCTGTTTGCCTGGTACCGCCCAGACCCGCCTGGCACCCGCCAGGGGGTGCCAGGTGAGGTACCTGGTGTCCATTTCTGAGCAAAAACAAAGGCGGTACCAGGGTACCGCTAGAGGTACCCTCCTTACTGCGCAGTCACTAATGAGGTGGATGTCTGCTGCCTTCTACTCAAAGAATGGGATGATAAAGGAAGGGGTGTTGGCCAAGTGGAAAGATGGTATTCAGCCTGCTAAGAAGGGTAAATCAGATGGGAAAGGTAAAAGAAAGGTGATAGTATTAGAAGATTAGTTCAACAAGAGTGCCATTTGCACCGCGGCCACAGGTACCGCTGGTACCCGCCCAAAGTACCGCTGGTACCCTCCAGGGGGTGCCAGGTGAGGTACCTGGTGTCCATTTCTGAGAAAAACAAAGGTGGTACCAGGGTGTCGCTAGAGGTACCCGGGTACTGATCGTCATCTTTACACCTAATCCAACCAAACAGGTGGCGGAAACGTTTTTCCAATAGGTTAGCATAAGACCTTGGTGTCCTTTTTTGATATTTTTTGGTAACACTTATCCATTCTCTGGATCAAAAGTTGGGGACTTGATTTGAGGTGAAAATGAGCTTACGGCATATTACATGGTACAACAAAGAATATTGAGGAAGGAACCAGCGGACCTTCATCAAACTTGAACCAAAACGGCCTTTTGAGAGGCCAGTGGGGAAAATCTAGAGGGCATTTGGGCATGTGGGCAACACAGAAAATTGGAGTAGAAGCAGAGCCATTGGCTAGTCCAAATGGCTGAAGAAAATATGATGAGGAAGAGGGGGGGGGGGGCAACAGTCAGGGCAAACTTTTTCCCTACTATTAACTTCCAGCTTCCACACCAAAATTCAGACATTAGGTGCAAGTCCCTCCTTTGGATGCTTGCTTCAAGCCAGCTTGCCTATATTCTGATCGAGGGACTTGGGTGCCCAAATGGCTTTTTTTTTTTTTTTTTTTTTTTTTTTTTTTAAAGTGTTATTGATTTCACATGTCACACTATAATCTAATGTCATACACCAATTACAGATCTTTGGATACTATCACCATCTAGAATGGTTATCTAATTTAAGTGTCACAAAAGGAACCCAACTAAGTGTGAAGTTAATGACTGTTAAAAGCTGTTAAAAGGAAGAACCTAAAAATTTCTTAATGAGAGAAAGAAAAGGGGGAAAAAAAGAAGAAAAACAAGGGAAACAATTCAATAAAAAACTTTTTAGAAGATGACATAACACCAGTCCAGAAGTAAAGAGATGGTTGTATCTTATTGATTCTTATTAACTTCAATGCTCTTTAAGGGGCATTGAATACTAAATGGAGAATGTGTATATTTTATGTCGGTTAAACTAGTGAATTTGTTCTTGTTTTGGTCTCTTTTAACGCATCGGAAGCAGGCGCCACTTGGATTTTCAATCTGACAATCTTTTGAATTATGTTTACCTCCGCATCTAGCACAGAGTGGAGGTGTCTTACAATAAAAAGCGGGGTGTCCCATCTCTAAACAGTTGAAGCATTGAGGTGGACCGGGAGTGTATCTTGAAGCCGTAAGTAGAGTGCCATCGATTATTAAACTGCCTCGTGTAATGTCTTGAGTGAGTTTTTTATCCTTCACATTTATTAACAGAGTGCCGTGTTGTTTTCCGTTCTTCAAAGGTTGGCCTAGCCATCGGGCTTTTTCTATCATGTCGTAAGGAATGTCGTTTTGAGCGCAGAGCTTCTTCAGGTGGTTGTTGTTGTTTGCCTCGAATTCAGTTGGAACGGAGTGAATCATAACTGTGTAAGTGGCCATTGGTGTCTTGAAGTTTGGGTCTGCCAGATGGGTCCAAGAGTGTTTGTGCTCGAGTAGCCACTTTGCCATTGTTCGATTCTTAGTAATGAATTTGAATTTTGATGTCGCCCGTGGGAAATCGGGTGACCGCTTGTACTTGAACTAGTGTGTTATCGATTTTTGCATTGATTGAGCTGAGGGCTTGATTGACATTGGTAACAATCTGAATCGGGGAGAGGTTCAAGAAGGGTTTTTCCGTCCCTGGATGCGTCCTGATGATAGTATGGCCTCGTTTAAAGCGGTTTATGTAACTGTTAGAAGGAATCGATGGTAATGGGTGTGGTATGTTCTTGATTGATCTAATTGGAGCAGTGATTTGAGCTGTAGTTTGCTTCGAAGACGGTGTAGCTACAGATGCATAAGACATCTTTCCTTGTTGGTGTATTGGAGCGGGTGTGTTGGTTTGTATGTCGAGGCTATGAATAGAGTCAGAATCTAAGGTCTTCTCCATTCGTTCTAGTCGTTTGGCTAGGTCGTCCAATCGCGCAGTGAGGAATTCCATCAAGTGGTGTGGGATTTCTGAGTTTAAGGAAGATTCCTTGGTGAGAGCTTCTATCTTATCTAGTCGATCCACCAGTGCCTGTAGGGTGTTGAAAAGTGTATCGAGGGTGGTTGGCGCACTGGTTTTGGGACCTCCAGCTGCTGACTTGTTGTTCTTCGTCATTCTTGAGCGCTATAGAAGAAAGGGTCGGTCGAGAGAAAGGAGCTGTTTGAGTGGAGGATTGAGCCGGGCTGTAGCTCATAAGAGAAGCCAAGGAGTGGAGAGAAAAGGATGACAATTGAATGTTTTAATCAAAGGTAGTGAGGTTGTGGTTGATGGTAGGAACGCCCAAATGGCTTGAAATGTTCACCGGATGGAGGCCTGGGGTGACTTTTCATTGCGGAGCTTTGCGCCGCGCACTGCTCATGGAGCACACTGATGCATACATGCATATTCACAAAGAATTACATAATCTTTTTTCTACCAGGATGAGCATTGCTGATCACTGCAGGCTGTACAAACTGACCCAGCTGTCTTCCGCCAACTTCCAGCCCTCTTCAAATTCCACATATTCTTTCAGTGGCGGTTCATACACAGGCTCTGCCTAACTTAACTAAGTCCCTCCGGCAGTTGATCCGATGGCTTGCCGGAGGGACTTATGGGCTATGTCGCCCCCGAGGCCCAAGAGCATTAAGAGTTTGGCTGGTGACTTTTTTATAACTCGCCTCCACGGCGCATCTGTGCACCATTTTTCATCTAGTCTTCGCACATCTGACGGCCGATCCGTCTACCTCATGGACATCACTTCTTTTGGTCATAAAGTAGCCAACTTGATCGCGAATTAAGACATTCTAGCCTGCTTGAGAACTGAAAAAATACCTATGGGTTAAGAGATGATTCCAGGATCTTCGACATATCTAAACAGTATTCAGCAGTATTGGCGACTGCCCTGTACTGCTGCATACATTCGGGTTTCAGACTCAGTAACCCATGATGGCCTAACATGTTATGAATGGTGACATTGGCAGCAGATAACAAGCGATCCACAGGAAAATTTGATAAGACATCAAGAGTTCATTGGCCAAAAGCACATCTGAACTCACCGACATCGCTGAGAATCCATTTCCCGCCTTAAATCATTGTCAATTACTCCAGCCGTTCACCGTGACTAGCATGGATCAACCGGGCAGCGGGCTCGATATCTCCAGAACAGGCCACCTGGGCTCCTCGGGTCGCTATGAACGACAAACTGGACTCGATATGTTCGCTTATAGAAAGTCTGAACTTAACACCAAAGGAATTTGTGGTTGCTTTCCTAGAGCAAAACCATGACTTTTTCAGATGTGCATAAAATACTGTATTACATGCAGGAGCTCCTGTACTTGACGTGTGGCATAAAATACCGGTGCTTCCTCCAAATCCCAAATGACCGATGAAAACAAAAAAAATGAATGTGGGAAAGGCCCAAGTGGCCTCACCAACTCAAGGATGGGATAGAAAGATACACCTGGAAAAGCCCCTCCTATCGGTGGGCGACTTTGTACCTGGCAACCGATAGATAGACCCAGGAGAAAGGATTAAAAAAAGAGACTGATTTTTTTAATCCTCTTGGGCGAGAGGGTCGACCTAGCTCATAAGTCCCTCCTGCGGAGGGTCCCTGCGGGACGGCGTCCCCCCTCCCATAGAGGGACTTAGTTAAGTTAGGGCTCTGCGGGCAGCCAGTCTGCAACCAAACGAAGTGCGTATGTATCCATTAGTAATCCCCCCCTTGACTTCATTCCCCAGCCGTTCAACTTTTGGAAGCAGAGCTTAATTTCCCATGATGCCGCTCGATTTAGGATAGCAATGCCTAACGTCTTGGATCTCCCGTGGCACGTGTTTGAGGTCATCTACAAAAATCTCACCAAAGATGGCGATTTCTCCTGGCCAATTTTCTCCAATCAACCCCAGAGCGCTCCCGGCACAAGGAGCACGACGGGAAAGTTGAGACTGGTCTGTCGTCAATGGGCAGATTGGCTATATGTACATCATCTTTATCGCACGATGACCTTCGAAAGCGCTTCCCGAGCGATGCGTTTCATCGTCAACCAAATCACCAGGCGTTCAAAGAGCCTTCCGCGTGCTAGATGTCAACACCTGCAGGTCCTCGGCATCCTAACTTGGGGCCCTGCACCACCTCATCAAGGATCACAACGCTCAAGCGGATTCTCTCTAGCATCGCGCAGGAAACCCGAAGATACGATCACTTTCGAGATCTTGGAAGCCCTAGTCGAGCTGTTCTCCGACACGATCGTCGAGCTCAATCTGCGGTTTTGGAACGTAATGTCGCTTCCACCACGAACGATCGGGACGATAGGGCGAATCGAGAACCTGCGCGCCTTGAGACTCGGCCACGAGTTACCAGAAGTGGCTCCAGCTGCACCCCAGCCAAGGCTCTTTCCGCTTTACCACGATAGTGATGACGAGGACATTGAAGAAGCAATACTCCAGCATAATGCGCGACTCGACATGGACGAAATGCTTGGCGGTGGTGATCGACCTCCAACAGACATGGATCCAGTCAAGTCCAAAATCGATTCTGATTGTTTCAAGTCGTTGATACTAGCCACTCGAAAGTTGCAATCACTCGATATAACTGATTTGGATCCAATTTGTCTACCCAAGCCGATTAAATCCACGCTCTGCAGCCACCATGTCCCGACAATCACTCAACTCGAAGTTAGCCTAGAGGGACAGAGTCTATCTAGACTCATAGATCTTTCTATTATCCTCAAAGGCACTTTGAAAGTGCTTTCCCTACAGGATCGCTGGCAAGGCAATCACAGTCGAAACCTTGTACCCGTGTTTGAAAACCTCAGAGAAAATCTTGAAGGCCTCTTTGTTACTGACGAAAAGATCCTGAACCCGGTGATGAAACTCAAATTTCCGAAATTACGTGTCTTCAAAACGATCTTCTGGGATGGCCATATTTCTAATCTTTTGGAGAAGCCAATGATAGCCTCCTCCCCCATCGAGGTTCTTGCCCTTCAATCAGAGGTCGTCGATCGTAAACCGAAAGGAAAATTCCGCGTCAATCCGTTTTTGAACCTGCCCACTTTGAGACGACTAGTATTCTGTGAAGTTCGTCCTGGTTATTCGCCCCCTCCAGCATACATCAAGGCTTGTAATGCTCGTCGCGTGAAATGCGTTTATCTGAGCCCCAGTGATGGCGAGGATGTGTCTTTGATCATGGTCAGTGGATTCAGAGCTCTTTCACATTTTCTGCCACGGAGACACTCGCTCCAAAGACGGCTTGCTTACCATGTTGCTCTTTTCAAATGCAGAAATTATGAATTGAATATCTTGCGTGTTATTTGGTAGCAACGCGGGATTCCATCTGCCGCTAGATGAGACATCAAATCAAGTATATCGTCCTCTCAAAAAGCAAAACCGATGTCTATCTATTGAATGTACATCTACTTTTTACCTATTTACCCGTCAAAAAAAAAAAACTGATGGCCCGTCTATTGAATTCCCATCTGTTTTACCATTTACCATCCCCCGCCTTTCCTCTACGTATTCAAAAGAAAAACATCTGTTGTAAAGTTTAGCCAAAAGACATGAAGAAAGAAATGGAATTTTTGCCATGTCGCAATAAAACAAACACTACATTAGCCCGATTTAGTTGTACCCTGTTCAACGTTCTTCATACTGATCAAGAAATAATATTTTCCATGCATTGTCTATTGTCCACAAGTTGTGCGATCACAGAAAGAATGTTTAGATGCTATGGAAGTATGAAAACCTTCCCAATACCGCTACAAAGTAGCCTGATGAGTGATGACCCCTTGTTTGGTGCCCTTAAGTATTCAAGAAAAATATCTAAAGCAGAACAAGTCATAACTCTCTCAATAATTACTGATCATCAAGCTTCCCTGGTTACTACTTGAGGCTCCCCAGAGCACCAACAACTGTGGGATAGATGCATACATGCATAATATGTATTTATTACAAAACTTCATTTTTTCTCTTCCACCAAATTCCCCCGAGCTTTCTTCAAACTCTACGCAGGCGCTTCATTGCAGTTCTAGGTCCTGCAAGCACCCAATCCCCCAAGTGCGTATTGAGCAATCACCATCCCAGCTGATGAACTTTTGAGAGCAATGCTTAATTATTCGATGCTGCTTGTTCCAGATTCGTAATGCCTAAAATCTTGGATCTCCCGTGGCACGTGTTCGAAGTCATTTACAAACACGTTACCAACGATGGCGACTCTTCATCGACATATGATATCTGTGGTCTCCAGTACGATAGCATGATGACCGAGACAGGAAAGCTGAGATTGGTCTGTCGACAATGGGCCGATTGGATATATGTGCATCACCTTTATCGCACGATGTACTTCAGCAAGGCTTCTGAAGCGATGCGTTTCATCATCAACCAAATCACCAGGCGTTCGAAAAACCTTCCACGGGCGAGATGTCAAAAACTAGTGGTCTTGGAGATCCTCACTTGGGTCCTCCACCACCCTCATCAGGGACACCAACCTCAAGAGATTCACACCAGCAATGTTTAGAAAACCTCGAAGATACGATCACGTTCGAGATCTTGCAGCTCTGATCGAG